GCACAGTAGGTACACAACAAATGTTTGTTGTATTGAGGTCTGGAAAGATACACAGGCATTCGGGGATGGAAGAGGGCTAAGAGATTGTTTAAGTCAAGCCTCTCATTTTACAAATGAGGAAACTGAGTCCCACAGAAGTAGAGAAACTTTCCCAGGGTCACACGGTGAATTAATTGGCAGCAGATATAGGACTAGGAGGCACAATTCCTAACTTCTAATAGAATCTTCTTTCTACCATACTACATATAGAGAAACAGCACATGGATAATGAATAAAGATGGAAGGTCAACTACCTGAGGCCAGGAAGTGTGTTATTTTTGTCTTTATGTCCCCAATGTCTATCACAGTACCTTGCACATATTAGGCACCTAATAAATCAGTTGAATTGAAATGAATTGTTGCAATAGCATGCAACCTGGCAGTTATAATTACTTTCTTACAGTAGTGTGCAGAACTTCTTAACTTGCTGCATAATTTTTCCACTAATAGAAAACCTCTTTCTTCAAAGTTATCAATCTGGTACATCTCAGAAGCACCTAAATTCCTAAAAAATATATTTTCTCCTCTTAGAAAATGACAGGGAGCACTTACATGATGTCACTGTATCTTATCTATTAGTTAGCTGGATAAAGGGAGTTTTTTTTTCCATTTGGAAGAAATATTTGAAAGGTTTGTTAAAAACTACTCTGATAGGCTATTTTTAGATAGCACAGCAAGTAGATCACTGGACTTGGGAGTCAGGAAGACCTGAGTTTAACTCTTGCCATACATACTTACTAGCTGTGTGATCCTGGGCAAGTCACTTAACCTCTTTTAGCCTCAGTTTTCCCATCTGTAAAATGGAGATAGTAATAGCTCTTAACACCCAGGGTTGCTGTGAGGATCAAATAGGATAACATACGTAACATTCTTTGCAAACCTTAAAGTGCCATGTAAAAGCTAGCTAATATATGTAATTATTTTTGGTTAACGGTTAAATTAGAAAAAAGCAGCACATTTATTTCATAACAATAGTATATAGCACCTATTTGACCTTTTTTTTTTTTGCAAATTAGGACAAAGTACCCCTTTGCCAAGTAGATGATGTTTTTTGTTGTTGTTAACAGCAGAGCTGCTGTGCAGAGCTCATTTAGAAGTTATATTTCCCCTCCATTAAAAATATGTTGTGATCTACAGAAAAAGCAACAGAACCACAGTTTCCTTGGGTAGCTGCCTCTTCTGGCTCTGTGCTTTCAGCCACTAAGGACTGAAGAAACACTCAAAGAATCTGCTATAAATCTCAAGATACCTCATGACAACATGTCGTGTTCTGCAAGGGAAGAAAGGTACTCCCAGGAGCCATGGGAAGTAGAGGTGACTGAAGGTCACTGCTAAACTGTTGTTCACGAATAGGGCATTTAGGAGGAAGGACACAATGGGATCTGGTTTGACACAAAGACTTCAAAGTGAGAGCTCAAAGGCCTCCAAGCACCACCACACCAAAGGTAGGGAAGAGGTAGACCTGGCAGAAGGAGAATTGAGCTATTCATTAGGCAAACTTGGTTCTAATCCCAGATTTTGAGACTTCATTTTTCTGGGTCTTGGCCTTACAAAAGAGTCAGAGGCTGCAGGATGAGACCTCAACTCTGCCCTTGGGTTACATTGATTAACCCTTCTGAGCTGTTTCCTCACCTTAAAATGGGAAGATGATAGTTACATTATACTACCTACCTCTCAGGACTATTGGGGAGTAAATGAGAATTTAACGTATTTGAAGAACTTTGTAAGTATTAAGTACTATGTAAATGTGAGATATTATTGTGTTAGTAATAATGAAATGAAGGCATTGAACTCTCACTGGACTACAATCCAATCCCTTTAAGTGTTAAAATTCTTTAATTTTCTCTTTAATACTCCTTGTTCTGGATAGTTAAATAATTCTAGCAGAAAACAGGGTTATAAATTGCGGGGTTTTATTATTCAGCCACTCTCCATCAGTATAGAGAGATCATAGTGATAATAACAACAATAATGGAACCACATATCTATCTAGCGCTTCAGATTTTTCAAAATTGCTGATCACATGCTGTCAAATGCATTTTTTTTTGGGCAATTGGGGTTAAGTGACTCACCCAGGGTCACACAGCTAGTAAGTATCAAGTGTTTGGTCTGAGACCAGATTTGAACTCAGGTACTCCTGACTTCAGGGCCAGTGCTCTATCCACTTCACCACCTAGCTGCCTCTGTCAAATTAATTTTTGAGCTGTGTTTAGGGCCAGTAAGACGGCTGTCTTCTTCATCTGATACTTATGGCACAATACAAGGGAAAATGTACTGACTCTGGTTCAAATCTTGCCTCTGATACCTCCTACGTGTGGGACTTTGGGTGAGTCACTGAATTAACTTCTTTGAGCCTTAAGAGAGTCTTATTTTAACCTGTAAAATGAATGAGTTGAATTAGATATCCTGTGAGGTACCTTTCTGCTCTTGATCTATGATTCCAGTAACCATCACTGGCGGACATTTCTTCAGAGAAGATTGTAGACAACAGAAAGGATAAACTATTGAAAAAACTTTGGAAGGGGGTTAGAGAGTGGTACAAGCAGCCCTTTACCTCCGTGGGCCTGTTCTGCACTGAATCTTTCCTAATTCAGGATGTTGTGTTCTCTTCTATGTCTTTATTTAGCCTTTCTATGACATGAAATCATTGCTAGGTTTTAGGAACTACCAGTTGGTGTTAGATTAATCCCAAATGGCATGTACCATTATTGTGGTTCAATTAAGCTGAATAAACATTTATTAAGCATCAACTATGTGTAAAATGTTGTGCTAGTTTGGGGTTACAGACACAAAAATGAAAACAGTTCCTGTACTTGAGGCACTTATGTTTTACTTCTGCTATAAGAAGCGCAGTGTTATATATAAAATATATTGGATTAGTTACTGTCTTAGAGAAGTGGGTGGGAGGGATAGAATTTGGAACTCAAAACTTTAAAAAAACATTTAAAAATTGTTTTAACATGTAATTGGGGAAAATTACATACATATACGTATACACACACACACACACACACACACACACACACACACAGAAGTGTTGAATTAGGACTGGGGCAGAGTTCAAGTTAGTTGTTCAAACTCCACAGGCAGGTATATCAATTGAGTATTAGCTGATATGTAGGGAACATGAATTTTAGTTTAGAACTGGAAAAGAGCATAGAGATCACATCTTCCACATTCCTTATTTTAGAAATGAGGAAACTAGTGCCTTGACTAGAGATTGGCTTGAAGTGACTTTTATTTAAGTCACTTTAATTGACTTTATGAGTTACACAAGTTTCCTAAGTAGCAGAGCCAGGGTGTGAAGAACCCACATTCTCTGGGTCCACCAAATCTCTTTCTGCTCTGTAGCTGGGTACTGCAGTAGATGAAGTACTAGGCCAGGAGTTGGGAAGACCAGAGTTTAAATCTTGCCTCAGACACTTATTAGCTGTATAACTCAGGGTAAGTCACTTGACCTCTGCTTGCTTCAGTTTTCACGTTTGTAAAATAATAGCACCTACTTCCCAGGGTTGTTGTGCTACTATGTAGCGCATAGTAAGTGCTATATAAACATTAGCTATTATTATTATTATTATTATTATTTCTTAACCTCTCACAGCCTCAGTTTCCTCATCTGTAAATTGAGAATAATAAAAGAGCCTATCTCACAGGGTTGATGTGAGGATCAAATGAGGTAACACATGTAAAGTGGTTTGCCAACCTTAAAGGGCTATATAAGTTGTAGCTGTTATTATCATAGTTGTTCTATTTATACCACATTGCTTCTCTGGGGGTCTAAATCAGAGTCGTCAAACTCATGGTGCCTGAGGCAGATGAAAGTCAGTGGCTGACCTACGTGAAAATGTAACTGAGAAATGTTTTACAAAATAAATGAATAGATGATACAACATAGAAAATGCTAATTTGTGGTTTTCTAAGTTTACATGTATTCTGTAGGGATCTGTTTCCATTTGAGTCTGACATCCACTGGTGTAAGATTTCTCTGCAGGAAGGCTTTAGATGTTGGATCTCAGAAGGCTTTCCCTCACTGAGCTAGCTCTGTGGTGCAGTGGATAGAGCACAGGGCCTGTAGGCAGGAAGACCTGAGTTCAAAACTGGCCTTAGACACTTACTAGCTGTGTGATCCTGGGCAAGTTGCTTAACTTTAGTTTGTCTCAGTTTCCTCAACTATAAAATGAAGATTTAAAAAATAAACAAAACAAAACAAACCAGTACCTACCTCACAGGATTGTTCTGGGGATCAAATGATAAAATGTTTGGAAAAGCACTTAGCATAGTGCCTGGCACTTAGTAGGTACTATATAAATGCTTATTTTCTTCCTCAACAGAAGAAGCATTCAGTTATCTCTCTTACCAGAGCAATATCTTGTTATCAATTGTATTTTGGCCTTTAATAATAATATGACTTTTCAATCCAGGCTTTGGCATTCATAGGTTCAGAGGGATTTAAGGAGAGTCCAGATATTGCTAAATCCATTCCATTTAAAAGGACTAACCCTGAATCACCTCAAGGCAGTATTTGCTCATTCTGTTCTTAAAGGCTGCCAAAGAAAGGAATTTCAAGACCTTACCTGTTTGTTACAAGAGGTTATTTCCTTATCTCAGACTGATATAGCTAGAAAAAAAATTTTCTTTTGATAGAATTCATGGTATTAAGCTTCTATGGATTGGTCAAAAATATCTATTTGTAGAGTGTTTTGTTCCATATCATTTGTATTCTTTTGTGCCAGCTTTCTAAACTTCAAAGAATTAAGCGTATAAGGTTGCCTTTCACTGAAATGTACTCTATTCCCTTTTCTTCCCAGATCCACTCTTTAGCCTTGCTTAAAACATTGACTGGTAACTTGTTTCTCTGTGATTTTTATGGATAAAATAAAGAAAACTTCCCCTCTGATGATGGTACCTGCAAGAGTGCCCCATCTGCCATAAGTTTCTAGCTCCTGGGTTGAATGGCTTACCAGCTGTGTAACTCGGCAAATGCTGCTTTGATCTTCTTCACCGAACTATCTACTTCCTCCTTGATCATTACTCGATATCTGGTCAGAGACACAGTGCATCGCTGCAAGTCCTTCACTGATTTCTCAATATTGGGACCTAGAATTATTGTCAAACAAGAGGGAAAAAACTGGTCAAAAGGATTGGAGAATCTATTCATTTATGAAGACAAAGTTTCCAAATGGAGCTTTGACTCTTATTTTATAACACAAAAAAGAAAGCAAAGGCCCTGCCTTTGTTGCATGTTGGAAGCATAGACCAAACTTCTCATTAAATGAATTAAGTTGGGCAGAGGTGATGGTGATTCCAGGGCAATTGGGCTTCTTGGGGGTCCTCAGTAGAAAAGGATGGGGACGACTTCAGTCTCTCACTAGTAATCTTCTTTGACAGGGCCATTCTGGCCTACTCAGCCCCTGTGCTCTGTTATAAATATGGTTTCCTCTGGGAAACTGCGCTTCTGGCCATCTTGATTAAGGAGGCTCTAGGTAGCAGAACTCCAGAAACCCTTGTAGAAGAAAATGACTCAGAGACTAGGAGAGGCCTAAATTAGGCAGAGGTGGCATGAAGCATGGATGAGAGGTTCTTCAGCTCAGGAATCTGTTTACTCAGAGCTAGGCAGCATGTAATTAGAGAAACAACATTCAATCCAGGTCTATCTGGGCTAATCTTGCCCTGTTTCCTGAAACTGTCACCAGGGTTTTGTAGATTTCCCAAAAATAAATAGGCAAATTGTTCTTATCTCAGTAATGGCATATTTATTACATGCATGCATATATACTCACACACACACAAATACCTTTGCAAAAATTGAGAAAGTACATCAAATTGGAGTCAAAGATACTGTTGAATGGGACTGAGAAGGGAGAATACTATTAAATCTTCTGGTAAACAGAAAGGAAATGGTATTACTTATTCCTTCTTCCACCCCCTCCCAGTTCTTTTCAATGAACATTTATTAAGTGCCGACTATGTCAGACCTTGTAGTAGGCACAGAATGAAAAGCAGGCCCTACCCTTAAGGAGTTTACTTTTTATGGGGGGTGGGAGAGGGGACCACAGTGGACAGAGATAAGTAACACAAAATATGTAGAAAGCAATAATAATGTAACCTTTTATTTGGGGGTAGGGTAGACTAGTGCTAATTACTGGGAGAATGAGAAAAGAGGTTTTATATATAGGAGTTTAAACTTTATCTGCACCTTGAATAGAGCCAGGGATTCTAAAAGGCAGAGGTGAAAGGGTAGATAATTCTAGATATAGGGATGGTCTCTACAATCCCCTCTACCTCTGAGATTCTGTGATTTTGTAAGCCTCTTCCTTTTTAAATAGTCATGCATACACTTACAGATAACATAACATATTTTAATATTATTAAAATATTATGTATGTTACCTACAATCCCTATTCATGAGTTATTTTTAAATGGATAGCATAGAATTAAACATAAATAGATTAAGATGTTTCCTGATGTAGATAAAACAGCATATCTAAAGTAAGGATTGGTTTCATTTAAAATTTTTTAAACTTGGTATTTGAAAAAAAATATTCCTTATAGGCTATTTGGACGAAGACAATCTTATGGTTAAATACCATACAAAATTGGGCATTTATGCTTATGAAAATAGTGGTCATAGGGTTGGCTACATAGGAAGAAGACTTGGTCTACTCAGGTGTACAAAACTGTCAGATGAATAAGGAAGAAAGAACGCCTGCGATTTATGAATGTTTATTGCAGAAAGAAATACAACTGTATTCCACTTCTCTTTTCATTAAAAGGTATTAGGTCTCTTCTAGACATACATTAGTGCTGATGTAAAAGCCTGTAATCTGACCCCTTTACTGGACACATAAAACGTACTGAATTGCTTACAGGAAAGAAATCACTTTACCTCTCTTTTTCAGCAAATCATCAGCTGTTACTTCAGGATGAGTTGCAGGGGCACATGACTTAACAATAGGTGTTTTTGACTTCGGTCTGCTTGTGTTACAGTACTGCTGGGCCGAAGCTTGCAGACCATCTGACCTCTCTGTTGTGGGCATAGGTTTTGGGTTCACTTCTAGAGATAGCCTCTGTCGCTGCAGCCTGCTGCCTTCTGTAAGAAAATACCAAACACCAATTGTAAAGTGATAAGCTAAGAACATTGCCAGTATTGCAAAGGAGATGCAAGATTGTTTTGTTTAAGCGTTGACAATGATACCTGTCATTGCAAAAAAGTAAAGGAATAGAATCCTCAGAAAAAAAATAAAACTGCCAAATGAAATAGTTTTTTCACTGTGGTTAATAAGGGCCTAATTCCTGTGACTTAATCATTCTCTCTAATTTTCCTGCGATTTGTGCGTTTGTGATTCACTAGGGGGTGTAGTAGATGGCAAGCTGGGCTTGGAGACAGGAAGATCTGACTTCAAACAAACCTTGCCTCAGATATTTGTTAGCTGTGTGATCTCAGGTAAGTCATTTAACCTCTCTGTCTGTCTCAGTTTCCTCATCTATAAAATATTGATAATAACATACCTCCTTCCAGGGTTGTTGTGAGGAACAAATCAAGGAATACGTACAAAGTGTCTTGTAAACCATAAAATGTTAAATAAATGTTAGCTATGCCAGGAAATGAGATTTTCTTTAGAGTTTTAGTTTGTGTGTGTGTGTGTGTGTGTGTGTGTGTGTGTGTTTCATTAATTATATTTTGTGTTTATTGACTGTTGGATAGGTTTACTGGAATGAAAACTCCTTAAAGGCAGGGACTATGTCATTTCCCATCTTTGTACATTGCATAATGTTGGAGACGTGATACATGCTTACTAAACGCTTGTTGGATTGAATTATATTAATACTGGGGTGCATTAAATGGGTACCTTAAAGGCTTGAATTACTATCTCTCACCAAAACCTCCAACAGGCCTAGCATATTTTTTGTCAGTAAAGTGGTTATGAGTTGTGGAACTGGTTTCTATTGAGAGGCAGAACTACCTGGAGCTGGTATAATTCTGTTACCCCTCCCACTTCTATTTCCTCCTTATAACTGGTGGACTCTACTCTCAACTGGCACTGACAAGGAGGGTCTGTTACACTAAAAAAAAAAAAAGAAAAAAAAAGAAATTCTAAGAAATTAAAGCTGTACTTAAAGGATAATTAATCACATCCTGAAAATAATCTGGGAGATAAAGTATCAACAGTGAAATTGATTTATTTCCATAAAGAGGAGAAATGAATGTCTTGTGCCCTTTAACCCTGGACAAAAGGAAGCAAGGGGGAGGGGTACATAGTTCCTGGCATCTAAGCGTTGGGCTGTAGTTCCAGTTATACCACTGAATCCCAGTGTGACCTTTGGCAAATTCCCTGACCTCTCTGGACTTGTTTTTTCCTTTCCTTTCCTTTTCTTTTTTGTTTTCTCTTCTCTCCTCTCCTCTTCTTCCTTCCTTCCTTCTTTCCTTTCTTTCTCTCTCTCTCTTTCTTTCCCTTCCTTCCTTCCTTCCTTCCTTCCTTCCTTCCTTCCTTCCTTCCTTCCTTCTTCCTTCCTCTTTCTTTCTTTCTTTCTTTCTTTCTTTCTTTCTTTCTTTCTTTCTTTCTTTCTTTCTTTCTTTCTTCCTTCCTTCCTTCCTTCCTTCCTTCCTTCCTTCCTTCCTTCCTTCCTTCTTTTTCTTTCTTTCTTTCTTTCTTTCTTTTTTTCTTTCTTTCTTTCTTTCTTTCTTTCTTTCTTTCTTCTTTCTTTCTTTCTTTCTTTCTTTCTTTCTTTCTTTCTTTCTTTCTTTCTTTCTTTCTTTCTTTCTTTCTTTCTTTCTTCTTTCTTCCTTCCTTCCTTCCTTTCTTTCTTTCTTTCTTTCTTTCTTTCTTTCTTTCTTTCTTTCTTTCTTTCTTTCTTTCTTTCTTTCTTTCTTTCTTCCTTTCTTCCTTTCTTCCTTTCAGAATTAAAAGGAGTTTATTATAAGTACGCCAGGATAGCAAGATAGCCAACATAGCTGATCACTGAAGATCAGCCTCAGCCTGTTTTTTCATGTGTAAAATAGAGATTATAATACTTGCTCTGCCAAGCTAACAGACTTGTTTTAAGCACGAAATGACTTAATGAAACTAGAATGGAATCTCTGAGCTACAAGGGTCCTCAGAAACCATCTAGTAGAGTGTTTCCCAAACTAATTTGTCTTGAACTATATTGAGACTCCCATACATGTTGATCTGTGAAATTTGGGGGGGAGGCATGGCATGGCCCTGGGATTTAGGGAAATTTGGGACCAAAACAGAAATATGAATAGGCAGCTAGGTGGAACAGTGGCTAAAGCCCTGGGCTGGAGTCAAGACCTGAGTTCAAATCAAACCTCAGACACTTACTAGCTATGTGCCCCTGGGCAAGTCACTTAACCTCTGTGTGCCTCAGTTCCTGTGTGCCCAGTTGTGAGGAAGAAAGAGATAATAAAGCATTTAGCACAATGCCTGGAATATAGTAGTCATGTAGATAAATGCAAGTTATTGTTATTATATTTTCATATAAATGCTATACATAATGTTTTTGATACATATATAATTTTATGTTCACTAATTCAGAAGAGAAGCTACTATGAACATCAACATTTCTCAGAGAACTTCTAATTGCATTACATAGAACACTTGGATTATACAAATAAAGTCTGAGAAATACTGATCTAGTCTAAGACCCTCCCTTTACAAATGAACAAGTGCAGTCATATGATAAACTACTAAAAAACATAATGCAGTAGATAGGCATTCTCTTTCTCTTCCTCCTTTCTGCTAACTTCGAAGCAAGTGCAAGAAGCTCAGGAAAAAGAAAACATTTGTCTAAGTGAATGTGGGGAAAGACACAAAGCATATTTTGAGCAACATTTTCTACTAGGATTTTCCTAAAAGCCATGTGTAGCTCAAGGGCTACAAATGAATTTGTTCACTAATTTCTATGTTGCTAATAATAATTAACTTTTTGTTGTTATTGCTATCAGTAACATTGCAAGTTATTCATTTTCTAGTCCCCTTTTCTTCAATTAATCTTCAACTAACATTTATGAGAAACAAGGTGTTATAGAAGGAGTCAAAAGCTTCAGTTTCCTCATTTATAAAACTGGGATAATAACATTTTCACTCTTTACATTACTGGGTTGTTGTCAGGAAAGAACATTTCAAACTATAATGTGCCATATAATCATGAGCAATTATGTGAACTATTCTTCCCTTAGTATTTACTGTGGTCAAGGTGCTATTTTATTTTTTCCTAGTGCTAAATGGATCCCAGAACTAAGTAACAGAAGTTCTGAATTTTAAAGTTGTCCACCTCTTGCACTGACTCAGTATTAAGTACAGTGACAACCATACTACCTTAAGTTTACTATCTACAAAATGAGAGGTAACAGAAGATTACCAATGGAAGATTTAAAAGATGTAGAATGATGGCTATGAAAACTCTTTTCATAATAAATCACATAATAGGTTGGGTTAAAACACTCATCCTGAGCTCTTAAGTACTTTAGGTCATTTTTTCTATAAAACTATTTTGGATATCTATGTAGATTTCATAGGTATCTATGCTAAGTTAAACTAAAAGGAAAGACAGGCAGAAAATTAAGCAGGCTTTTAAATAAACTTTTAAATGAAAGCTGGGAATATTAAGCATAATTCTCACATTTACATCATTAAGAGGCATTCTGTTTTAAGCAGTATAATAATTCTGGATAAGAAGTCAAAGAGGGCACATAGGTGCGGGGCTCAGAGACAAGAATCATCTTTGTGAATTCAAATCTGACCTCAGACGCTTACTAGCTGCAGGACCCTGAGCAAGTCACTTACCTCATCTGTTATATGAGCTGGAGAAGGAAATGGTACAAACCACTTCAGTTTCTTTGCCAAGAAAACTCCAAAAGGGGGTCACAAAGAGTTGGACATGACTGAAACGACTGAACCAGGAGGTAAAGGACCTAGGTTCAAATCTTGCCTTCGATACTCTATGATCTCGGGCACATCACTTAACCTCCCTTGACTTCATTTTCTTTATCTGTAAAATGAGAAGGTTAAACCAGGTCTCGGAGGGCCCTTCCAACTCTAGATCTACGGCTCTATGACCTGTCAGTCCTTACCCCCCCCACCCCCCATGAAGATACTTGGCCCATCCCTATTCCTTATGGTCCACTTGAAATGTTTGCACACGTGAAAATAGAGGGATGAAGACTCCCCTTGCCTCAGGCTTACACTGCCATATACAGTAATGATCACAACATTCATGAGAGTAGTTTGGGTATGAAAATCCTATTGACTGCTGGACCTAATACCTCATCAGTGGGTAAGTCCCCTCTTGGAGGGATCTGAATTTGATTCAAGCTAAATCCATCATTAAATTGCCTGCACATCAAAGAAAGCACAGCTTAGCTTGAACTTCTTACTCGTACCCTTTAAAACCTAATTAAGAGAAAATTACAGCACACAATGAAATATCTGGTCAAGGGGCGTGAATAATGTAAATAAGCCCTCTAAGCACATATATGCTGTGACTGATCAAAGCAGTGACCCTTTAGCTGCAGTAAAGGCCGGGGGGCTACAATGAGGGTTAAAATGTTTGCGTTTTAATTTATCATTCAGTGGCAGATTCTTCTGGACTTGTCCCTGTTCTGTTCTCTCTCTTCTGGTAGCAGATGAGATTAATTTTTTTTTTTTTAATGAGAGGCATTGTTAAAATCAGAACCCTAAAGAAAACTTGTTTCTTTTGAGCTTCAAAGAACAGCCATTTTATTTTTGGAAAATAGAGTCTTTAAATTACGACCTAATACACTAGCTAGCAGCTGTGGAATAAGAAAAGAAGTTCTCAGGATTTGAAAACTGCTTAAATGTAAGATAATGCTAATTAGCATGGTGGAGAGGGCGGGTGCAATCAGAGAATCAGGATATGAACAAGCAGAAATATGAATAGATTCCCTGGCAGTTGTTTATTTTCAGGTTTCTGAGGTTCATGGACAGTTGCTTCATTGTTAGTAAAAACTTAGCTGGAAAGTTTGAATGTCTAGAATGTTTCTGTATATGTGTCTTACTTAAGAAATGTGTAATATTTTAGGAAATTTAGAAGATTAGCTCTGGACTAACTCAAACTGTATGGTGCCAT